GACACCAAACCCGAGCAATATTAATTGCGGAATCTCCCGGAATCCGAGAGAAATATTCGTTTACTTTCCGCACGTAATCTAATCCGGAATCTTACTAACTTGATCTTTGGAGGCGGAACTCCACCCAACCGAAGTTTCGTGGTTTTGCAGGAACAGAAGTCAGGCGTGCATTCTCAGTGTTGTAAGTCTCCCGCAGGACACCTCAGAAAACCCCTAAACAAGGTTAACCATACAATTGATAGTTCCATTATGGAGATTCCAAATCCAAATCCACCTCCAACTCCAATTATAATTGATATTTCATCCGATGATGAGGAAGATGAAGAGTTTGTCCAAGTAGAGCAAGAACTAGAGTCACCTAAATCAATGGAGGAAGAGGATGACCCTGAATTCGATCCTGGAAGCTACAAACAATCTACCAACAAGGAGGATAATGTTCGAAAGGGCTAGATTTTTGTAGTTTCATTTATTTTAGGATTCTTAGATTCGTTTCCGTAGTTTAATTATTCCAGTTTCAGTAAAGCAATAAGTGGAACGTCCACAGTGAGTTACTAAACTTGTGTAGTTGCATAAGTTATTTAAACTTATTTTCTTTTAGTATTCCATTCATTTTCTTACTCATCAATAAAATTTCATTTAATTCATTTTATTGACAAATCATTCATTTCGTATCACTAACCCAATAAACCATTTCTTACCCCAAAATATTCCAATAATTTATTTCTAAACTCTGGGAATCCATGGGAATTATTTTTATTTATTAATGTGATTCTTTATTAAATGTGTTGTTGTTTAGCAATCAATATTTGGTTGACAAAGCTACAAATTTTGGGAATTTTGATTCCAATTTGTTAGCTTAAAATTTATTGTGTATATGCTAAGAGTGTGGGGTAGTTAGATGAGTGTCTAACTTGAGAGCTAGCCAAGACCGTATTTAATAAAGACCCCTTTGTGTTAATTCAGGTGAAGAAAGATGGTAGGAGGGAGTGGTAACAACAATGATGGTGGAGAGCTAAGTGAAGTTGTGAGGCAGTTGGCAGCTGTTGCCCAACGATTGGCAAGGAACTCAACCAATAGTGTAGATGCTCAGGGAGAGCTATTTAAGAAGGTGGCGCACAGCAAGCCACTAACCTATCAAGGAGATCCTGATCCAACTGTACTAGTAAACTGGTTAAGGGAGTTTGAGAAACTGTTCGGGGCAGTAGGGTGTCCAGAGAACTCAAAAGTAGGTTGTGCTATCTATTACCTTAGGGTGAAGCTGACCTTTGGTGGCAACAAAATGAGGCTAACATTAAGGCATTACCTAGATTTAATTAGACTATGTTTCAGGAGAAGATTAGGGACAAGTTTTACCTTAGCTTCTTACAGAAATAAAAAGCTGAGGAATTTTCCAACCTTGCAATGGGGAATATGTCAATTACTGAATACTACACCAAGTTTATTGAGTTGTCACGATTCGCTAAGGAGTCTGTTTCTACAGAAAAGTCTAAGGCTAGGAAGTTTGAGAGTGGTCTGACTACTAATTTGCATTTAAAGCTGTGTGGTCAAGTATTTGAAACCTTGAACGAAGTGTATGGGAGAGCTGCACACCTATATGCCTTAGAATTAAAGAAAAGGAAAGAGATAGCTGAGATAGAAGGGAAAGAAAAGAGAAAAGAGGTGGGACAGAATTCTAGAAACCCACAAGGTAATCAGAATAACTTTAAAAAGCAAAAGTACCACCATAATAACAACAACTTCCGCAACAACAATAATTTCCAAGGGAACAATCGCCAAGGTGGACAGAACTTTAATGGTGGAGCTAGGAACTCTAGCCAGGGAAATAACAGGGGACAAAGGCATTTCTATTGCAAGAGGTGTAAGAATGACAATCTGGAAAGGATTGTGATGGAAATTTGGTTACCTGTCGTGCTTGCAACAAGCTATGACACTGGGAGTGTGAATGTTTCTCTAAGGACCACAATAGAAACAGGCTAGGAAATAATCAAGTTGGGACTCAAAGGAACTTTCAGGGAAGTAACAACTACTCTTGGAACAAGGGGGCACAATAGAATGCGGCGAAAACCAACTTAATGGGAATAACCAACAGAAAGGTTGAGTTGCAGGAAAGTTGAATGTTATGAGTAGGCATGAGGCTGATTCCACGAAAGATGTCATCGCTGATACCTTTTCTATTAACTATATTCCTGTTAAAGTCTTGTTTGATTCTGGTGCAACTTTTTCTTTCATTTCAAAGGCCATTGTTTCAAAACTATCAAACTGTTTGAAAATCGTAGATGAGGTAGATTTGCCTATAGTTATTCCTACGGGTGGGGTAGTAAAGTGTAACAAGACCTTTAAAGATGTACCTTTAGAAATGAAAGGAAAAGAGTTTTTATCAAATCTCATCGAGTTTGGATTGAGTGACTTTGATGTCATTTTGGGAATGGACTGGTTGAGCAAGTATAGCGCAGAGATTAGTTGTCGATCACAGAAAGTAAAAATGACTACAGCTAATAATGAGTTGGTGACATATTGGATGCATGGTGAAACCAAGTGCCCAAGGATCATATTTGTGTTAAAATTGGAAAATTATATTAAGAAGGGGCATCTAGTGTACTTTTGTAGTGTGAGGAATATGGAGTATGAGGAGACAACTAAGCCTGAGGATATAGAAGTAGTAAATGAGTTACTGGATGTGTTTCCAGAAGAGATTTCTGGAATGCCACCCAAAAGGGCAATTGATTTCACAATAGAGCTAGTTCTAGGAACAACACGAATTTCCAAGGCACCATATCGAATGGCACCTGCAGAAATTAGTGAGTTAAAGGAGCAATTGCAGGATTTATTAGAAAAGGGATATATAAGACCGAGTACATCACCTTGGGGAGCACCAGTGTTATTTCTGAAGAAGGAAGATGGAAGTATGAGGTTATGTATTGACTATAGGGAGTTAAATAAGGTCACCATAAAGAACAAGTACCCATTACCAAGGATCGATGACTTATTTGACCAGTTGAGAGGCGTAACTATGTTTTCTAAGATTTGATTTAAGGTCTGGTTACCATCAACTTAGGATTGCAGATGAAAATATTCCCAAGACAACATTTAGAACAAGATATGGACATTATGAGTTCACAGTAATGCCTTTTGGATTGACGAATGCTCCTATAATCTTTATGGACTTGATGAATAGGGTGTTTCATCCATTTATGGAAAAGTTTGTGGTAGTGTTCATAGATGATGTGCAGGTGTATTCGAAGAGTAAAGAAGAACATGTAGAACATTTAAGGGCAATTCTGCAAACACTAAGGGAAAACAAGCTTTACGCAAAGTTCTCTAAGTGTGAGCTTAGGTTGGAGAAAGTAGCATTTTTGGGTCATTTTGTGTCTAAAGATGGGGTAGAAGTAGATCCAGCAAAGATTGAGGCAGTGAAAGGTTGGCCTACTCCAAAACCAGTGTTTGACATTAGGAGTTTCTTAGGTTTAGCAGGGTATTATAGGCGTATTGTGATAGATTTCTAGAAGATTGCTAAACCTATGACCTCTCTAATGAAAAATGACAAGAAGATTGTGTGGGATAACAAGTGTGAGGAGGCATTCCAACTCTTGAAACAAAAGCTAATCACAGCGCCAGCGCTTACACTGCCAGATGATAGTGGTATTTATGATGTATATAGTGACACATCCAAGAATGGTCTAGGATGTGTACTTATGCAAAATGGGAAGGTGATTGCATATGCATCAAGACAGTTAAAGACTCATGAAGTAAATTACCCTACTCATGACTTAGAACTATCTGCAATCATTTTTGCGCTAAAGATTTAGAGGCACTACTTTTATGAAGTGAAATGTAGGAGTTATACAGACCAGAAGAGTTTGAAATACTTTTTCACTAAGAGGGATTTAAACTCACGCCAAAGGAGATGGTTAGAATATACGACGAATTATGACTTAGACATACAATATCATGAGGGGAAAGCAAATGTAGTTCTAGATGCTCTAAGTCCTAAAACTAGTTATGGACTAAACACTTTGATAGTGTCTGATGAGTTATGTAGAGAAATGAGGAAAATGAATCTGGAAGTGGTAGAATGGGGATTGCCAGCAGGCATACTTGCAAATCTAAGTAATCAACCAACAATATTGGATGAGATAAGGGAAAATCAAACAGGAGATGTAAAGTTGGATAGGATTCGTAAGAAAATAAAGCAAGCAAAAGCTATGGATTTCAAAATTCATGAAGATGGCAGCTTAAGGTATAAAGGTCATTGTTGTGTACCACAAAAATGTGAGGAGGTAAAGAGAAAGTTGATGGAAGAGGGTCACAATATACCATACTCAGTACACCCAGGAGGGGACAAGCTATATAAAGACTTGAAAAAGGTGTATTGGTGGCCCTGAATGAAGAATGAGGTTGCGGAATTAGTGGCAAAATGTCTAACTTGTCAGTATGTGAAAATAGAACACAAAAGACCGCAAGGAACTATGCAATCATTGGAAATTCCTGTATGGAAATGGGATTGTATTTTAATAGACTTTGTGACTTGCCTCCAAATTCAAAGAATGGAAATGACACCATATGGGTAGTGGTGGATAGACTTATAAAATCTGCAGTGTTTATACCAATGAAAAAGACCTAGAAGATGGAACAACTTGCAATATCTTACCTAAAAAATGTGGTGAGATTACATGGAGTTCCAAAGGATATTGTGTATGACAAATATTCTAGTTTCCTTTCAAGGTTCTAGAAGAGTGTGCAGGAAAACTTTGGTACAACAGTTAAGATGAGTACAACATTTCACCCTGCCACAGATGGGCAAACTGAGAGAACCATTGAAACCTTGGAAGACATGTTGAGGTCTTGTGTTAGATTTCCAAGGGGGATGGGAAGATAGATTGGACTTAATTGAATTTTCCTATAATAATAGCTACCATGCAAGCATTGGCATGGCTTCATTTTAGGCATTATATGGAAGGAAGTGTCGCAGTCCAATCTGTTGGAAAGACATAAGTGAAACAATGATTTTAGGGCCTCAAATGATCGAGGATACAGTTATAAAAGTAAAGGAGATTCAAGCGGTGCAAGATCCCCAAAAGAGCTACGAGGATTTGAAGCATAGAGAGGAGAAATTTGAGGTCGGTGACAAAGTATTGTTAAAGGTGTCACCAATGAAAGGTGTAATGAGATTTGGAAAGAAAGGAAATCTTAGCCTAAAGTATATTGGTCCATATGAAGTATTTCAAAGGATAGGCAAAGTAGCTTATAAGTTCTCCTTACCTATGAAGCTAAGTAAAATTCATGATGCATTTCATGTATCTCCCTGAAAAGTCACATGTGCTACAACCTGAAGCCATTGAGTTAGACCAAAGCTTAACTTATGAGGAAAGACCTGTCAAGATCCTTGACAGTAAAGTGCGTATTACACGCAATAAGGAAGTTAAGATTGTTAAAGTGCCATGGTCTAACCAGAGTATGAAGAAGCAACTTGGGAAGCCGAGGATGAGATGAAAAAGAAGTATCCTGAGTTGTTTGAGGTATGTTGAGTTACTGGGACGTAACTCGTGTTCTTTAAGGGGGGTAGAATGCGGTAGAATTTTGCGTTGTTTTCCCTATATTTTCTGTTATTTTTGTGCTTTTTGCACATTTTAAAGGCAAAAGTATGACAAAAGAGTATAACAATTTACACAAAGTGAGGAAAAAGTTTGATTTTCATTGCTCAAGTTTTGGGACGAAACTTCTTTCAAGGGGGGTAGACTGTAATACCCTGTATTTTTATACGTATTTTAATTTAAATAAGTGTTTCTTAAAGTAGTTAAATAATTCAAAATGAATTATTTATGATATTTATTAATTTAGAAAGAATTATTTTAATTAAAAGTTTATTTTTAATTATTTAATAATATTGAAAATATTTAATTTTAAGATTTGAAAATATTGGGGCATATTATTTTATAAAAAGATAATTTTTTAAAGTCAATGATATTTAAGGAAAGTCAAAATACTAGTTTGACTAGGAAAAGGATCATTAAGGGTAGTAAAGGATTTTAAGTAGGAGGGATATTGAGAGGGGGTATAAATACCCATCACATGCCTAAGGTGGAGTGCACCAAAAGGTAAACTTTCTCTCTCCTCTTATTTTCTTTTCCCCTTAATTTTTCCCCTTCCCCTTTATTTTAATTTTAATGTTTTCAATCACTACCACACACCGTCTAGCCACTACCACATGCCACCATCGGCTGGCGGCCACCACCACCAGCGTGCACCAGCAGCAGCTGCACCGACCGGCAGGCGCGGCAGCAGCTTTGCCGCGGTGGTGCTGTGCGCACCATTAAAAAAAATATTCTTTTGATTTTTAATTAAATCTACCCTAAATCTAATTATTGTTTTTGGGTTTTGTGATGATTTTAGGATGTTTGATGATAAGTATTTTTTATATAAATTTTTAGATTTGATTTTTAATTAAAAAACCCCAAATTAAAAACCCTAGGTTTCTAAATTAATGTTTATTGATGGAATTTGATTGTGGTTGATTAAAATTATTGAAATAAGTGTTTTTAAACATAATTACAACAATTTTACATGGTTTAATAAAGCAGGAATTTTTATATATAACCTATAATTATGTTTCTTGAAATGATTTTTAATTACCCATTAATTGGGAATAAAAGTAAGTGTTTTAAATTACATTTTAGCTTGTTTTAGAGGGTTTATGAGTGATTTAAAGAGTGTATATATTGCTAGAAATTTGTGTGGAAGAGGTATTAATACTTCTTTGTAATTTTGGTTTGTAGGAGACTTTCAAGTGAGTGATTTTATTAAGTCATGGCGATTTTGAGATCATATTCAAGGTACGTTCGCGTACTTGGTAATTTCTTGAATATGTAGAAGCATGATAGGCTTTGCTTAATTAATCTCAAATAGTATCATGATAGGTGTTGGTTGGAATTTGTTGATTGGTTTGACGTTGGTGATTGATTTGTGATGTATGAATTATTTGAGATGAATTTGGTGATTGGAATTAATTATGATTGGCATGTTGATTATAAATCACACTTTTATTATTGGCATGTTAGAGAGCATGTTAAATTAAACTAAATGTTTAATTTGGTTTGGAATATGAAAAGGGAATTTTATGATGGTTCAAATAATTTTTATTGATGCTTTAAGCATGAGAATTGAGCTGTATAAGTGTCTTAGTACACAGGAATAAATTATATTGCGGTGCCTTGATGTGTGGCATTTATGCCAACATTTTACCCTCTTTCATTAGAGATTTCCCCCGGATTTGTCACTCGTTTATGCCTCTTTTCACCCCTTTTATCTCGATTTTAGTCACTTTAGCTCCCTCTCGTGTTTTCCCCTTCCCTTTTGTCTTTTCTTTTAGTTTTTACCTCCTTTTCGTGTGTTTTGATGGCTCCTAGCACTCATGGGTGAATTATGGATTGCTAGCTCGAGTGGAGATGCTAAGGAAGCTTGCCAAGGAAGTGGAGATGCCAAAAGGGAAAGGGCGCGCTGATAAGCAAGGCCGCGGGCAGGGAGGTCTTGAGCCAACAAGAGAAAGTGGAGATGGCGAGCCGCGGGCGCGACAGAGAAGACCCGCGGGCGCGACAATCTGGGTTTGACGAACTTATTACCCAGCTTGGAGAGGGCGCGGCAGCCTGTTCGGAGAGCCCTCTCCCTTGCCCATTTTCCTCATTATAGTAGAAGACTATAAATAGTCCTTAGCTTGAGGTTTTCAATCATTCACTATTCCATTGGCTTCAAAATCATTTGTAGAGAGAGAAAATCCATGTCTTTTAGAGAGAGAAAACATTAGTCTTCAAGATTCAATCTTTGTAATCAAATATTCAAGCTTTCCTCTTGATAGTTGCTACTACTTTGATGATTTGGTAATCTTTCAACTTTATAATATCAATCTTTACTTTTGTTTCTCTAGTTTTTTATTCTCTTGCTTTTATTCTTCTTACTAAAGTTTTCCTCCATAAATATTCAAGCTTTATTTGTTTCTTTGATTTTCTTTTAGCTTAGAATCATGCTAGGTTATGTTGTGATTGAATGTATGCTTGAGTTAGTTATTTTGGTTATTCCTCTTCCTCTAGCTTAGGTTATTAGCTAGGGAACGGGTGAATATCATGTATATTTGAATATCTATTGAATATTGATGAGAGTTTACCTTGTGTTGATGATTTTGTGATGAAATATATTTGGAGTTAGTGTGTGCACTTCTAATCTCTAAACCCTAATCCTTGATTGAATGCATGAGAATGATTTAGTGTAGGTGAGATTAATTTCATCAACTTGCTCTAGTAGTTGCATGAGAATGAACTATCTTAGGTAGAGTTTCCTACTCCTTGGTTAAATTCCTCATTGGTTTCATTTGTAATCATTTATCATGATTTAAACCCCCTCTCCCTAGTGCTTTTGCCATTGTTATCTCTCTAATCTAGTCCTTTTACTTTCATTTAAGAGTGTTTAGTCTAATCCCTTTGTTTTTAGTTTATTCTAGAATCAATAGTAGATGGTTTGCCCATAGGATTCTTCAAGCGCAAATCTCAATACTTCTTTTTGTTACTAGCAATTTATCCTAGATATCGTATTAATTGTGCTAAACCCCTGTTCCCTTGGGAATCGACCCTACCTTACCACTAACTAAAGTAAAATTGATAGAGTTAGGATAGGAGATATAAATTGTAATTTTGATCTGGGATAGTAAACCAACGACCTATTGTCCACCGATCAAAATTTTGGCGCCGTTGCCGGGGAAACGGCTTGTTTTGCACTTTTAATTTGCGTTATTATTAGATTTGTTGCTTTTTACTTTGTTCGTTTTCCACTTGCTAGTCATTTCTAATTGTTTGCTTAGCTTTGGTAGATGCAAAGAAGATCTCAAGGACCACCTACTCACAACATCGATCACGAAATCGACCGCACCTTGAGACAAGTCCGTAGACTTTATCAAGAAGAGGGGTGAGGTTTTGGTGCTATTTTTGATAGTGAGAGTGATTCTTGTTCCTCACATTCTCAAGGCGACGAATTGGCGGGACAACAAGTGGATGTTTTATTTCGTGAGTTCGGTAATCCGGAGGATTATGAGCTCACCGCTGGGATATTGCTACCCGTCACGGAAACTAACTTCACCATCCATCCTCAATACACTCGAATGGTTCAAGCGGAGCAATTCTCGGGTTCTCCAAGCGAAGACCTCATTGAGCATCTTGATAGATTTCTTGAACTTTGTACCATGATACAAACCAACTAAGTTTCTAAAGAATACATTCGGATGCATCTATTCCGACAATCTCTTGCGGGGAGAGCAAAGAAGTGGCTCAAGCAAGTCAAGCCTAATTCTCTCACAACATGGAGGGAAATTGTCCAAGCATTCTTGAAAAGGTTCATCTCCCAAGAGAAAACCGCCGACATGAGGAGGAAGATTGCATCTTTTGAACAAGAGGCAGATGAAAGCCTTAGTGAAGCTTGGGAGAGGTTTAAAGAATTGGTGCAAGCATGTCCTCACCATGAATACAATCAAAGCTTACTCGTGAGGTTCTTCTATGATGGCTTAGAACCAATGTCTAGAGCTAACTTGGATGCGGGGGCGGGTGGACAATTGATCAAAGTCCCTCAAAATCAAGTTGAAGCAACAATTGAAGAGGTAGTCAAAAACAACTCTTGGGGAGGTAGAAGGAGGAATGCACCAAAGAAAGGTGGAAAGTATGAGTTGGAAAAGGTTGATCAATTGCAACATCAAATTGAGCTTTTGACAAAGGGGCTCGCAAAATTGAACACCAATGTCACTAGTGGTGCAAGCTCCTCCCAAGTCAACTCTTTCTCTTGTCAAAATTGTGGTGGTACAAACCATGACACATCCTATTGTGGAGGTTAAGCCCGGAGCACGTAGCGGCATACAATACAAGACAAGATGGATATAGGGGAAATGGTGGAGGAGTAGCTTGGAGACAACCACCACCCGGATTTGCAAACCAACCCCAACAATGGAACCCACAAGCTCAACAACCATACAATTCCAACCCACAATACCAAAACCCTCCTCCATACCAAAACCAATACCAAAACCAAAACCCAAGGGGTAACTACCTAAGGAACCACCAAAAAAATAATCAACACCAATACCACAACCAAAATCAATCGACTCAAAAAAGTCAAGAGCAAGCATCTCAACCGGATTCTTGCAAGACAATTACATTGAGATCGGCCACATCCTATGAGGGACCCAAAGAGGGGGGTGGAGAGGAAAAGAAGCTAGGGGTGCGTTAGCCGACCTTGGAGCAACTGTTAGCTTGATTCCTTTATCCATTGCTCAAAAGCTTAATATTGAGATGATCCCCACAAGGAAAACCATTCAAGTGTTAGCTTGATATTGAGCTTGAAGATGTCCCTAGTCAAGTTGAGCACATCTATGTGCCTTGTGATTTTGTAGTGATGGACATGGAAGAAGATGTGGATACTCCCTTGATTTTGGGCCGTGATGCTATTAAGACCCTGGGGGCGGTGATCAATTGCAAGAACAATACCATTACATGTGAGGTAGCCGATGAAAAAATTGTCTTTGAATTCTCTAAGCTACTAAAGACCCCCATGGTTAAGAAGTTCTATAGGGTTGATGTTGTGAATGAAGAATTGGATCGGTTGGGAAGGGTTGTGA